GAGAAGAGGAGGCTCAGGGAGGACCTTATAGCTGTCTACAGCTGCCTGAAAGGAGGTTGTAGCCAGGTGGGATCAGTCTCTTCTCCCAGGCAACAAGTGACAGGACAAGAGGACATAGTCTTAAGCTGCACCATGGGTGGTTTAGGTTGGACATTAGGAAGAATTTCTTCACAGGAAGGGTGATTAGACACTGGAATGAACTGCCCAGGAAGGACGTGGAGTCACCATCCCTGGAGGTGTTTAAGGAGAGACTGGATGTGGCACTTAGTGCCGTAGTCTAGTTAACATGGTGGTGTTAGGTCATAGGTTGGACTTGGTGATCTCAGAGGTCTTTTCCAACCTGATTAATCCTGTGCACCAAGGCTGCTCAGGTCCCAGTTGCTCCTCAGGCTGGTACTGTTAGCTGCTGGTAAGACATGGCCTGGACTCCTGACAGGATACAGGCCTAGCACTGTTCTGTGGTTTGCCAGCAGGGCTGAGCTCTGTCAGGTCTTCTTGTCTGTGGTGCCTGAATCAAAGTACTGCTCACTCAGGGCAGAGCCATCCTTTCAAACAGGCTTTTCCTTCACTTTTTTTCCAAGAACTTCTCTTTTTGTATCCTCTGTAAGAGCAAATACTGACAAAAATTATCTCATACCTCAGTGATGTTGCCAAACGTTTATTGATGACAAACTTACTAAGAAATAATAAATCTTTTGAATGTCCTTTGCCCTCAAGGATGAAAGATTTCAGAAATCAAACTCTTCTAGAAGATTCTTTGAGGAAGAGTGTTAGATTTCAGGTAGGATATCTGTACAGTAGAGGAAATAACATGGATCTAAATTACTGAGTTACGTTGTTTTGAATGTCTTTGGATATTCATCCATTAGCAACAAAAATTGAATAAAAGGTTAGTGAGTGAAAGCAAGTTTATCATGCCACTTTTGTACTTGTCTAGAAGAGATGACAGCATGGACAGAAGAAGAATGCAGAAGCTTCGAACATGCACTTCTGATTTATGGAAAAGACTTTCATCTCATACAGAAAAACAAGGTTAGTATTTTACACTGAAATGGAAGAGTTGGTAAATTGTATGATGCTGAAAATATATTAAAGGATCATATTTGTCAGGAGCTATGCAGAAGAGGAAAAAAAGAACCATATTACAACCAATTTGACATTTTTGTGCTAATTTTTCCTTAGATGTCGTGGGAGAAGTTAGGCATTGCAGGATGTGTCAGTGTGTATTGTCTCTGAAATCAGCTTAAGTTAGCAATAATTCTGTTTATGTGTATTGCAGTTTGTTTTCAATGTGTGCCTCCCCCACGAGTGCAGTACTGCTGTACCATGGCTGTGCGGGGCATGATGCATCTTTCCTTAACTCACTTTGTCACCAGGAAGGGGCAAGTTTACAGGGTCCAGCTTAGCTCTTTGTATATATGTTCATCAAGTGCTCTTCTTTCTGGCTGGGGAGGAGTTCTGGTCCTGATCTGTATTGCTTCTGGTTGACTCCTCTGTGCATGGAGAATAGGAAATTCTTTTTCCCCTTTGTTACCAAAAAGCAGCAGTTGACAATGCAAATGTTTCCACATTTCCTTTACATTTCCTTTATGCTTTTGATGCCATGTTGAAGGATTGTTTTCTTTAGGAGTCTGGTGATCTTGTATTTCAGGTTAACTTCATAGGATTGTGGTTGCTGTTCAACAACAGTCTGGGCTCATTCTGCTCACTACCTGCTTTAACCCATCCTAACTAACACTTGGCTGGTTCAGATTTTAAGTGGACCTTACAAATAAACAGTAATACATCAAAGATTAAAACTAATTTTTCAACATGGAACAAAGCATGTGTGTGGATATATCTGTCACTATGGACCAGAATTTGTCTAAGAAATCCACTGGGTGTTTTTCCAAGTAGGTAAAATGCCAGAGGGTTTTAGGGAAAGTTCTGGGACTCACCATAAGGTAATGTCACTTGTCTACAGAAAGTATCAGCTAGACAAGATGCAGTGTGTGTGGAAGAGCTTGACAAGATATGTTTCCTTACCACTGTGCTGCACAGTGGAATTGGGAATTTCCATACTAGCTCAGGGACACCTGTTCATTTCCTCCCCTGCCTGGTATGTTTGTGTCCAAGCTAGTAAGGTTCAGTACTACACCCAAGGCATTTTGGATTCCAGACTGTATCTGAATAGAGTTGTAAAACTGAAGCTATGGGCTGATGGTGATGTGAAATGTTTCAGCATCAAAAAAAAAAATGGATAAAATTTACAATTATAGGTAGAAATGACAACTTTTTCTCCCAGAATCTGACTTCACACAGCAACCTCCACTTTGGGGAAAGAGAGACACAGATGACAAAGATAAAAATGAGTCTTTTGAGTCCTTTATACCTTTTCAACAAGACTACAGTTTTTTTCTGTTGTTTAAGCAATTACTGTTGTGATGGTTGTCAAAGCCTCCACAGTCCTGGACTCTGTCAGGGGGGCAGTATGTACCGAGAGTCTTTTCTGCTTCGCTTTTTCGGGTCATTAATTTGCTCAGCTGTTTCCATCCTAGGAGAGGGTCTGTCCTACAGTTTAAGAATGGTTGTATATATTGTATATATGTAAGTACTTCAGATGAAAGTAGAGTTTCAATAGAGTAGAGCAAATGTAATAGTTACTTGAAACTGTAGATCTGTTTGATGTCTCCTAAGGTAATTGGTTTGTTCCAGAGCAATAAAAACTTAACAGTATTGCAGGAGTGGGAATTGGGAAGAAGATAAAACTGAAGTCTTTGTATTAATGTTGTCAGTTCTTCCTCTTGTCTCCTAGGTAAGAAGCAGAACAGTTGCTGAGTGTGTGGCTTTCTATTACATGTGGAAGAAGTCAGAACGTTATGATTACTTTGCTCAGCAAACAAGATTTGGAAAGAAGAGATACAACCATCATCCGGGAGTTACGTAAGTGAAGTGTTCTTGGAATATGTTTTCTGTTGCGAATCCTAAGTGTAGAGGACTTTCCTTTCCCCCTCCTGTCATCACAGTATAGTGCTGCAGTGGCTATAGCAACCGAAATTAAATCCATCATCATTCATAGGCCTTGGTTTCCAGTTATGTGATGCATTATGGATACGATACTCTTCCAGGGACTACATGGATCGCTTGGTAGACGAAGCAGAATCCCTTGGTGGAGCAGTGCATTCTTCAGCCTTAACATCCAACAGTCGGGCAGAAACCATTCCTGATCAACAGCTGAGCATTCTGAACTCCATCACTGCCAACGAGCTCACAGGTAAAGCCAGGAAAAATAAATCTCTCTTTGTTAGAACTGTGCAGATGGGTATTTCACTTGCATTTGTGTCCGTTGCTTTCCAGCACTGACAAACAGTGTAGCTACAGTTTGCCACACTTCAGATGTGAACTGCCTGGACGACGCCTTTCCTCCCATGGACAGCTTACCCCGGGCACCAGTGAATCACGTGCCTGTTGGAACAGAAGAGTTGCTTAACTTGCCTAGCAACGGTGAAAGTGATTGTTTTAATTTATTT